CTAACCATACCTCCTATGTTCACATCCAAATTATCCAAGTCTCCCATGAGGAACCTTGTCAAACGCCTTACACTGAAGTCCATATAGATCATGTCCACCGCTCTGCCCTCATCAATCCTCTTTGTTACTTCTTCAAAAAACTCAAATCAAGTTAGTGAGACATCATTTCTCACGTACAAAGCCATGTTAATTATCCCTAATCAGTCCCTGCCTTTCCAAATACATGTACAACCGGTTCCTCAGGATTCCCTCCAACAACCCACCTGGTCTATGGTTTCCTGGCTTTTCCTTACCACTTTCTTAAATAATTTTCCAGTCGTCCCTTTACCTGCAAATCACCCCCGATCAACTTTTGAAAGTTCTTGCCTAATACTGTCAAAGTTGGCCTTCCTCCAAATTAGAACTTCAACTTTTATATCTGGTCTATCCTTTGCCATCACTATTTTAAAACTAATAGAATTACGGTCACTGACACCTCAGTCACCTGCCCTGCTTTATTTCCCCAGAGCAGGTCACGTTTTGCACCTTCTCTAGTAAGCACATCCACATAGTGAGTCAGAAAATGTTCTTGTACACACTTAAATTCCTCTCCATCTAACCCCTTAACACAATGGCAGTCCTAGTCTATGTTTGAAAAGTTAAAATCCCCTGCTATAACCACGATTATTCTTACAGATATCTGGGATCTCCTTACAGATTTGTTTCTCTATTTCCTGCTGATTATTGGGGGGTCTATAGCACAATCCCAATAAGGTGAACATCCCTTTCTTATTTCTAAGTTCCATCCAAATAACTTCACTGGACGTATTCTCAGGAATATCCTCCTAAATTCAGCCGTTATGTTACCCCTAATCAAAAATGCCACTTCCCCTCCTCTCTTGCCACCTTTTCTATCCTTCCTATAGCATCTATACCCTGGAACATTAAACTGCCAATCCTGTCCATCCCTGAGCCACATCTCCGTAATGCTATGACATCCCAGCCCCATGTTCCCAACCATGATCTGAGTTCATCTGCTTCTTGCATTGAAATAAATGCAGTTTAATTTTTCAGTCCTATCTCATTCTCTGCTTTGTTCCTGTCTGCCTTGACTTTTTCACTTACTCCTTTCCCAACTGCACCAGTTTCAGACTGAGCTCTTTCCTCACTATCTCCCTGGGTTCCCTGATGCATTCCTCGTTACATTAGAGCCAGTCTCGGTACCGGAAACCTGGATGTGAGTGCTATATTCCTCTAGCAGTCCATCATCCCCTCCATTTTCCAAAACAGCATACTTGTTTGAGATGGGGATAGCCACACGAGACTCCTGCACTGCCTGCCTTCACCTCCTACCTTTCCTGGAGGTAACCCTTTGACCTGACTGCATCTGCAGTTCTTCTAATTTCCTGCAACTCCTTACAGCTAATATCTTCCAAACCAGGCAATATCCTGGTAAATCGTTTCTGTGCCCTCTCCAAAGCCTCCACACACTTCTGGCTGTGTAGTGTCCAGAACTTACACAATATTTCAAATGTGGCCTAACTAAAGTTCTACAAAACTGCCATATCCTCTGACTGTGGCCAGCGGTCTACACTCTCCAATCATCGGATCATCCTTCCTGCACATCTCGTCCTGCTAGAATTATAGAGGTTTCTATGAGATCCAACCCCATTCTGCCAATGAAAATAGTCCTAACCAATCCAGTCTCTCTTCATACATCAGCCCTGCCATCCCAGGAATCAGCTTGGTAAACCTGCCTTGAATGCTCTGCATAGCAAGAACATCCTTTCTAAACTGTATACAATATTCCTAGTGTGATCGCACCAAGGTCCGATACAAAAGCATCAAGACATCCCTGCTCCTGTTCTCGAATCCTCTTACTATGAAGGCCAACATACCACTTGCTTTCTTCACTGCCTGCTGCATCTGCATGATTACTTTCAGCAACTGGGTCTCACTGCACCTCCCCCTTTCTCAATCTATCATCGTTCGATAGAATACCATCGAAGTATCATCGTCCTTCCTCTCCGATACTACAGCGTAATTAGCCCTGCATTTCTGGTCTCATACTTATTAAAGACTCTCAATGCAGTAATTCATCACAGTACTTCTCCCCAGCCTGGTCAGAACACCAGCAAGTCAAAAATACCTAAAGTGAAAACTTTTGAGTGGTACTTTACATAGCCTCAGAACAGAGTCCATTGTTCTTGTTCATGTCAATAAAAAAAGTTGTGTGCATTCACAGGCCAATGCTTGTATCTGCGTGTTTTATTAGTTTGTTGACAACTGCGACATCATGGTCTTGCACAATCACATCTTTTCGTCGTTTGATGCTGTGCAGCGCTTCTGCACACTAATATTTTTATGTACAAATGATACTATTATACTATTAGAAATACTAGACATTCAATTCCAAAGTTGTCTGTAGCACTTTAGCAGCAATCCCTTCTCGTATAAGATACATATCCTAAACAAGAGGCCACACTGTGGCTGTAACTGAAGCAGGAAAATTATTAGTCAATCATCTTCTGAAATGCTCAATGTAATACTGGGGACAAGTATTTATAAAGTACTGATAAATTACAAGGATATGTTTACAGTGTTCCTCGGTGGAATCCTGGATGCTATTCAATTTCTCACAGCAACAAAAAAAAAAAAAATACAGAATTACGGTGCTATAAACTCTTGACTATTTCTTGCACAAGTGCTTAGGACTTCACAGAATGCCTACAGTGTGGAAGCAGGCCATTTGGCCCAACAAGTCCACACCAACCTTCTGAAGAGTATCCCACCCAGACCCACACCCCTACTCTATCCATGTAAACCCTTCATTTACCACAGCTAATCCACATAACCTGCACATCCCTTGACACTATATGCAATTTAGCATGGCCAATCCACCTAACCTGCACATCTTTGGACTGCGTGGAGGAAACTGGAACACCCAGTGGAAACCATGCAGCCGCAGGAGGAATGTGCAAATTCCAGACAGACAGTTGCCTGGGGATAGAATCGAATCCTGACGCTGTGAGGCAGCAGTGCTAACCAGAGCGACTGTACTGCCCCATTTGTTAATATGTTAAATCTGTAAATAGACTGATCAGGAGTGACTGTAAAAGGGAAAGCATTGCAAAATCAAACAGCAGAAATTAACAGTGACCATTTCAACAGCAATATCTTCATATTTATTCAAATTAATTGACAACAAATGTCTTTAACATCAATTATTACAGAACTGAGCCCATTGTGTTTGCACTGACTTTCTGAATGAGCATTTCACTTTACGCCTTTATCCAGCCTTATCCCCATACCCTGCACATTCTTCTGTCAAATTACAGTCTATTTCTCTTTCAAATGTATAGATTGAACCGAGCCTCTACTACATATTCAGGCAGTTCAAATTTCACATTCTAGATTTTACAGGTTGATCAACAGATATTTTAGTATAACCTGTATTTGTAAGATGATGTAACAGCGTTACATCTAAAAAAACACATTTCTGCCAGGTGGCACATCACATATTCTAGTAACATAATCACATTGTTCATGTTTCAAAGGTACTGCAATTTTAGTTTGTACCAAGTCTAAGATGTTTTAAAGCATCATACAAGAGCTACTTTGAAATGTAATTACTATTGTTATGTGCATAGGTAATGCATGCATGCTCTTCTAGCCACATCTCTCAAAAAGCAACAAAATTGGTGATTATCAAACTGTTTTGTGAAGGTACAAATAGACTGTTGATCAATACTGGAGGAAACTGATCATTTTAACTATCCTAAGAAGCAAATCTAAATTTGTAACTACATTACTCAGGTAAACATTAGAACATTTGTAAAGAATAGGTGTGCTATATACAACTAATAGGTCTGAAATAGCAAAACGTATACCGTGTTCATAAAATCCCTACAGTGTGGAAGCAGGCCATTTGGCCCATCGAGTCCGCACCAACCCTCGAAACAGCATCCCACCCAGACCCACCCCTACCCTATCCCTGCATTTCCCACCCTAGACACTAGGGGCAATTCACCATAGCCAATCCACCTAACCTACACATCTTTGGACTGTGGGGGGAATCCAGAGCACCCAGAAGAAACCCATGCAGACACAGGGAAAATGTGTAAACTCCACACAGCCAGTTGCCCGAGGCTGGAATCGAACCCAGTTAGCAGCAGTGCTAACCACTGAGCCACGTGCCGTCCCTTGTTGCTGGGGAATGTCAAACATTTTTTTGAATTACCAATAGTACCCTGCACCAGAATAAATAAATAAAAAGGAATGCAATAAGGCTGTAAAATGCATTATGAGAAGTCACCCACCAAAATGTATTGTATGATAACACAAATGACTAGCAATAGCTCAGTTGAGGTGCCAGCTAAAAACAGCAAATATATAATTACCATCTATATTTTGAAACTAAATTTCTCACTGTACTGACTTTCTTAATCATATCCACACACAAATAAAACATTACTAGATTTAATTTGCTTGCAAAACCACTACATAACATTGTATACAAGGACGATGTGGACAAAAATCCCAGAAAACATAACTATAATGAATTACTGCTTAACTGGCTGAGCCGAATGGTCACATTATAAATTGATGAAAACTTAACGATATCCATCTTTTAAGAAATTAGTTATTGTGTCAGTTGTGGCATATGTCAAAGGATTTTTTTTTTTTAATAATTATGAATTAAAAATTGCAATACAATGCAATGTAACTTAAAGGCTGTCCATCAAGTGACCAAGAAGAAATATACATTTGAAAGTTGGATATTGTCATTGGCATTCACAAATTATTATAGGGATTTTCAACAATCCATGGTTGAAAATAATAGGCAATCTAACATGCTTACACTATAACACATTGCTGGTGCATAACTTTACTCGTTATTGGGCTAATGTGATCTAAACAATTTATTAACATTGCAATAAAATTGCTCCACATAATTTTACGATAGTGAAAGGATACTAAGAATGCACTACATTATGAAACATGGCACAAACATTAATTACCCAGCCACTTCCACTGCCTTGATTTTTAGCAAATAGCAGAGACGACCCTTGCAAGACTGTCCAAGACGATGTCCAATTTTTCCTACAAGTAAATGTGTTAAAAGAAAAGTGCACAGATTTAAACAGTATGCATTAAAACTTTGCATATTCAATGCACATATTTTATGTATTTCAATTTACATAAACGAATCAATAATTGGAGTTAGTAGCATCAAATATAGTGAATAATCATTGTATTCATCTTCAAATAGTTGTACTATTTCCATTTGCTTATATAATTAATTAATTAATTACATGATGAGTGTTCCTTCATTCATGTTCCAGAAACTGTCACCACTGTCTTAATGATCAATTAAATCCCAGAACCACTTCTGAACTTACCACTTAAATCGAAGACAACAATGCACTTCTACCAAACAAATTGTGCCAAATACAACAACCATGTGAATTCTCAAGCTCTCAGGTGTTACATTTCAATCTCTGTCTCACCTTTGACCATCTCTTGGTGATTGCCCCAACATCAGCAACCATAGAAACACAGAAAAACGGCTCTGCTCAGGTTACTGTTTCAGCTTCTGTCACACTCTTGTTTGTTGCTTAACAACCTGTCATCAACAGTACTCACATCACCATCCTCTTTTCCTTCTTTGGGCTTTATTAAGCCCAGGGTTCACACCTTTATCTGACTGGATTAACATCCCCACAGGTGATTTTCTGCTTAGAGAAAATAAATATGGTATTTTCTGACAATAACACTGGCCAACCACCAAGATATCTTGCCTTTCAGATAGAATAAATTGAACTATAGAGGCCTTCACAATGATGTCTCTATAATTTGTGCAGTGAACAGAAACAAATGGCTAGACAGTTCCAGTAGTCAATGTTTGATGACCCTAAACCCAGCCATGCACCATACACCCTTTCCAAAAAACACCCTTCAACTACGTCCACAGTTCAACACTCTGCTTGTGTTTCTGCTCTATCTTCAACTGATATCCTGTACCCAACAAGTTTCAATCCATACCCAATTCTGAAATGAATTCCATGGTTTCAGCCCTACAGATCAAGTGTAGCAGCATTGAAGGTGGCCATTATGCCAACTCTCTGAAAACAGTTCTGACCCCCAGTCTTGCCAGACAGGCTATATATTTCCCCCCTTTCAGAGTTTGTCTAGATGATAACGCAGCTTGCCTTTGCTTTTCTTAGTCAATTATTTTCAAATTTACTTTCGCTATTTTCTGATCTTTTTGCCACTGTAAACAGTTTCTTTTTTCCTTATTTCATTAAATTTTCATGACTTTAAAAACCTTTTGATGTCATTCTAGTAGATCTAAGAAGCCCGTTTAAGGCAATGGTGTTTTTACAACCTCCTTGTTTTTGTACTTTATGGTCTAAATACGTACTAAAGAAAATTTGGAGGTTGGGTGTGGAAGGAAGGCAGCAAACTTCAGGCAGGAAATTCACAAGTTTTGGTTTCCTTGGATGACTTGTTGAAAACAACTGCTGGATGTCTTTTAAATCTTTTCCAGCAGATTTCCTCCCCTCCAAACCTTACAGCCAGGTAACTAGGGAAAATCATGTGCTTTGAAAGAGGTAAGCTTGTTGGATCTAGAGTAAACATTGTTGTAAGTGCACTTATCTTGTGGATTCAGCCCTTACGTCTCCTTCTATATAACAGATTTTCCCAGGCTCCAGGAAACAGTTTCCAAGTGTTAAAACAAAACTCCAGTAAAAGGAAAGGCACACAGCTTACTTAAAAGCTTCTACTGACAAACTTGCTTCTTAAGAGTGGTTTAGCAACCTCTGACCTACCTCCAAAAAATCTGCAAATGGACACAGTTGAAGGCGGTTTTGAAATAATAAATGGTTTTCTTTTAAACTTCCCACTCGTCCTTTCGTCTTTCAAAGTCCTCAGTGCCTTTGCTCACAAAGGCAAGGATCCAATACTTATTTTAAACAGGGGTTTTTGTTCTTTCACACATATTAAAACTTGAAATAGTTGAAATTGCTTTAAGATATACATTTTCAATATTACCCCACTTAGAAAGTGATAAACTTATCATCAATTACAAATGTTAGAACTAAAAATTTGTTAGGTCAGGTAAACTGGAGACATTTTATTCTCTGTTTATGACCAGTTTTTTTTTCATTTAAGATGTTGTGTTTACCATTAAACCAACATCATTTGATCAGCAAACACTAAACTAGTTGGATTGTTGGAAAAGTCCCAATGTCTTATCTACCTACCTGACTTTCTTGCCATTCTCTGTGATCTTTGTTACGTAAAGTAATCCATATTTTTCTGAAACCTGCAAATGCAGTGGGCAAAAAGGAAGAAAAATTTGTTTTGCATTGCAAATCAACAATAAGCATTGGTGTTGGTTAAACGATTTCCATATAAGTCAATTCATGGCCCTTCATTAGAACATATTATTTCCACAGCTGATACTTGGATTCACTTTAACAGGCATTTTTAAAAAAATCTAATCTTTGAACAGGTTATGACACACCTTTGTGTCTAGCACACCAGGAGCTGGGATTTGAACCTAGGCTTCTGGCCTAGATAAAAACCGAAAGAACTGCAGATGCTGTAAATCAGGAACAAAAACAAAGTTGCTGGAAAAGCTCAGCAGGTCTGGCAGCATCTGTGAAGGAAAAAACAGAGTTAACGTTTC